GAGCACAGCAGAGAGAAATGCTACTTCTTTTCTAATAACCTGAATATTATTTGTAACTTGGTTCTGTTCTGGGCAGGGTTAAATTCTACATCTTTCTAATTCCAAATTCTATTAAAAACAATAACAACAATGACAACAAAGACTGAAAAGTTACATCTAAATCTGTCAGCTATGTAAAGTCCTTTGAAAGAATTTAATAATGAAAAGGTCTTCATGATCTTCAGTCACCATATTTTCCTTCAGGTTTTCACTTTGAAAAAGGTCAATAGCAGTGGAAGATTGAGTCCTGGTGACCCAGGTAAAGAGCCTCCAATAGGAATTAGGGGCCCAGGTTTGTGTCTCAGCTCAGCCAGTGATTGCTGTGTGAATTTAAGCAAGTCACTTTGACATCTGAAATTGTTCCTTCAGCTTTAAACTGAAGAGATTAGAATAGTATTCACATTCACAATTATTTGTGAGTCAGAGACCTCTCTGAGATTCTGCTGAAAACTATGGACCTTCCTCCCCCCAAAAGCACAAATACAACCATAAATAGAATTCCAAGAGGGTCAGAGTTTCTTTAAAATCCACCCACAGATTCCCTAGAGGACTTTAGAATGATTTCTAAGCTCTAAAGTATGTGGTTGAAGAAAAATGAATCCATTTACATTTGCTACTCCCGATGTGAATTAGTTTTAAAATGTGGATTTGGGCCATTTATGTCATTTGAAGTTAAGATTACTTTTTTGTATCTTACAGTACTCCCAGCAGAGCAAATTTTTCAGTAGAAAACAAGATCTCCTTTGTGGATTACTAGCATCTCAGCATCAGTGAAGTTATTAGTTCACTCTGCCACTCAATGCAGGGTTCCTTCTATAACTTGCCTCAGAGATCGAAATTTAGCTTTGACTTGAACACACACAGTGATGGGGAGCTCACTCACTTGTTTACTGCTGGGCAAATATGAAGAGTTTAGAGATTTTCTTCTTTATATTGAGCTATAATCTGCCTTCACCACATAAATGTCAGCTGTTGACCCTATTTCTTCTCTCAGGAGCTACATAGACACATTTTATTTCTTTTTCCGGTCTTTTAGGAATTCACTGGCAGCCTCTTTTGTCTTCTCTTAATTTTCTCTATGCTAAACATTCTAGTTTCACATACAATTCTTCCAGAAAGGTGATTTTATAAGACTGCCTTTAATCCCACTTACCTTCTTCAATGGAACTCTTGAAACACAGAGCCCAGAATTAGGCAGCATAATCCAAAAAAGGTCTGACCAACACATGGTAGAGAGAAGTTCCCTCTCTTAGACAGCTGACTCTCCTGTTAGGAAGGCCGTCAAGCGCCCATCAAGAGCTCAGTTCCTAGAAACGGGTGACTCTACTGGGCCATGTTGAAATTGTGGTCACCTGAAACCCCTCACTATAATCAATTTATGTTGCCCTCGTTGTCTATGTTTTAGAACCAAAATAATCTTTCTAAAAAACTCCCTGTTGACCTCTACCATAATTGCTTAGGCCATCTTTCCAGCTCTTGAAACCTTTTGGAATATTAGTTTTGTCATTCATTGTGTCATTTTTTCTTCCACTTTTGTCTCATCTACAAACGTAATAAACCTGCCTTTTTTCCTCCAAATTAATTGATAAACATATTGACCTGTCATTTGCCAAACATAAGCCTTCCTCTATGGATTCATTATTAATAATTCTTTACTCAGTTGCTTCACAACTTCATCCAACTCACATTTAACCTCCCGATCTACAGACTGGAGAAGAGCACGAGTATGATGTTCTCTTTGGGGGCAACATTTATTTCTTTTCCTTTTCTTCTTTTACTCAATCTACTTTCTTTTCCTCAAATTCTATTTTTTTCATGCCTTCACATATTCATACTGCATATCCTGGTCTTATATATGATCCCCTCCCCCCTGTGCTCCTTTTGCTGTGGAGAAAAGAACCTCCGTTGTACTTTCTGGGCTCCCTTTGCCTTCTGCTGCCCGCAGGGCGGGCCGAGCCTGTGTGTGTCCAGGAGGCCCTGTGCCGCCTGCCAAGAGTCAGCCCCTGTGCAGCTGAGGTGTTTTCCTATGTGCTCATTAGCATTTGGCAGAGGAGGAGGCTCTGAGCATTTCATCCACACACCAGACCACGTTATTCTCCTCCACCTCCAGAATTACTCAAATCAAATGAGCATTTAAAGAAAATTTAAACACAAAGTATATGTGTGGTTGGGGATACGAAGAGGGGGGTAGGGAGAAAGAAATGCTTAGACAGTCCTCACAGACTTCACATTTTAATCTCAGCATTATTGCAGCTATAACCAAACGAACATTGCTGACAGGAAAGAAGAAAGATTCAAAACGCAAATTAATGAACCATCCATTATCCAATAGAAAGGTGACATTAGTGTAAACTACTTTGGGAACCAAAGAACTTGTGGTTCTGTGGAGGTGGCAATGTGTTACCAGCTCCTGCCTCATCAAAGCCTTTCACCTGGAAATAATGTCACACTTGAATAAGGCTAGGAAAAGCACCTTCCAAGGTTTGCCCAATTGATTGGTTTTACTTTAAAAAGGGCTTTTTCATATCACTTTATGACCATTATTATTATAAAATAAATTAAATGTGGATCAGGTAAGCAAGAGACCTATACTCAAGGATGGGAAGTGATTGATTAATGGTTTAATAAGATGGACATATTGGTTACTGATTTTTTTAAATGTTTGACCAAGTTGTAGAGACAAATCAATGTTGACATTAAGTTATTAACCCTAATTTAAGGAAAATTGTCTTGAACACAACTTCATTACTCTGTAGTCTTGTGAATGAGCTCTGGAGGCAATAGAACCTTTGCAAAACCAGGGAGGTACAGACAGTTTGAGCTTAGGAAAGAGAGTGGCTGGCAGCTGAGATTATTGGCCTTTAATACTTCAGAGGGATTCTGAAGATCATCTGAACCAGGTACTGTTCAACTACTATTAATAGGTACTGTAAATCTATGATAAATCCTAGAGAATAGTAGAAAAGTCTAGATCAGCATCCAAAAAGCTAAGGGTGAAAATGAGTTGGAGTCTCCTGATAATGGAACTTTATGCCTCATTCACTCATTCATTCATTCACTCATTCAGTCAGTCAATCAGTCACTCAGTCAGTATATATTAAGGGACTATGACGTGTCAGAACTTCTCTTAGAACTACACTACCCTTATAACCTTGAACACAGAGCTTATGTTCTTGGAGTCTAACTTTCACCATCCAGGTATTTGTCTCATGGAGTTGTTGTGAGCTTTAGTGATTCAGGTATGTAAGACTCTAGCAGAGTGACTGATTAGATGCTCATTGATCTCCCTTCCCTTCTCCCTAACATTTAGATCTCTTATTTCCCATGTAATTTATAATAATATGAAATAAGTTTCATTTGTTAATAACAAATGTCTCTCTACAGTCTTGGGTCAACAGGAATTGTGAGTGATCTGTGTTTGCAGATGAAATTAAAGTACTTAAATATTATTATAACTGATCAAATATTTTTACAAGATAATCCACCAAGCCCAAGGATGTCATTCTTTGCCAAATAGCCCTCTGAGGCTTGCTGACTACAGTACATGAAAATCCACACTTTTTTTTTCAGTTTCTTTATTTCATAGCAAACATGAGCAATAACTTCCTTTCATTTATCAATTCTAAAGGTGGAATGTTTTTCAGTAACACTTAGAAAAATCTCATAAACTAATTTTCTAAAATATAAAATAAGTATAAAATTTTCCATGCTAAGCATCACTATACTCACGGAGTGTCAGCTAGTCTGATGTTTTAACAGAAGAGACTCAAGTGAAATGAAAGATAATTTTGTAGATTGAGTATGACTATAGTAGTTGCCTTCTGATTTGAATTAATTTTGAAAGAAACCGAATATACATTATTGTGGAACTGCCAAAGACATATACCAAATTGTTTGTTACTTCATTAACTCCATCAATCATTTATGCAATCAATATTAATGAGCACCTACTGTTTGCCAGACACCATGCCAGACTCCAAAGTGAAACCTAGCATAATCCTGACATCAAGAAGTTTGCTCTAATGAGAAAGACATGTAAACAAATACGGTTCTATAAGGTAATTGATGCAAGAGAAAGTGATCCAAGAGCAGCAGGGAAATATGAGAAAGATCAAGCTAAGTCAACCTGGGGCATTATGGGAGCCTGCACAGAGGAGGCAAGCTGAGACCAGAAGGATGAGTGGGAGATAGTCAGGTGGGTGAGTAGGAAGAAGCTATTTGGCAGGGAGAATAGAATAAGAAAAGCAAGGAAGCTTGAGGGAGCCTGGAGTGATCAGGGGATGTGGACGTGTAGGTTGGTGTTGTTAAAGAGTAAATTACTGTGACGGGGGAAGCAGGAAGGGATGGTGAAAATGAGGCCATCATGTAGGGAGAGGCCAGAGCCCATAAGCCTGTAGAGTAGACAAAGGTGTGCCAATGTTTTTCCTCTCTGTAGGTTGTGGGGGAAGTTATTGAAGAATTTTGAGTACAGAAGTTTCATAATCAAATGGGTATGTTCCTGTTCGTAAAGAAGACTAACAATATCATGATTCTTTTGTTGTTTACAAGTTACAGAAGTGGCACACACACCCCTTTGTTCCTAGGGGTTTCAATGGCTCTCGTTGTAATGGAGTTCAGGAGTGCCAAAAGAAATATTTGAACTAAATAATATATCAGAATTACAATAAAAGCCTGTGAGCACATTTTTAGTTAACAGCTTTTTAATAGGCTGTGATGCAATTCTTAATGGAGAAAATTTAATTATGAAAGATCGCCTGTCTCTAATGGAAATTTGGCTGGCTGTGTCTTTATTCTTCAGTGAATTAAAAGGTTTATATAGGATTAGATTGTTGAGATTCTTGGAGAAAACACATATACACCGTTGAAAACTTTCCACTCATTTTCTTTATCTCTTGCAGCAAAGCAGTGTATCTGCCAGAAATAAATTTCACTTAAATTGAGAATAATTTTTATAATTTCAGGGGTTAAGCATCTGAAAGGCCAGAATGAATCAGCATTTCCTGAAGAAGAAGAAGGCGTAAACGAAAGGGAGGAGCAGTGGGACCATTAATCATGGGTCTGCAGCAAGAAGGCTTCTTGGGAATAACTGAACTATTAACTTTTCTGAATATCCCATGGAATGCCACTGCTTGATTTCCAGAAGCATTCTCCATCTCTGCTCTTCACACTCATACAGTATAATACACCTCCTGGGAAGCCCTCCTTGATTGAACTTTAGAACTAAGTACAGATTGTTCCATATGACTTGCAATTAAAGGATAAGCATTTATTTTATGGTGATTTTTCTTTTTAATGACATAGAAATTTGCAAACATGTGTGTTCTAACTTTAATACTGCCAAGCTTAATCCCTGATGGCCTACTGGGATGGTTTGCCTTCGAAGGTCAAATGTAAATAGCATCACTTTAAGAGTAAAAAATAAATATTAAATACATTTAGACATGAGTGTGTGTCTGGGTTTAACTTACAAAGGAATGTTTAATGAAACTTTCAAGTTAAGACCTGCATTTATCATGTTTCTGTACATAGAACAGTACACAGTATTTATTTCAAAATGACAAAGAAATGCCAGATTTCTTGATTCACAAGACCACAATATATTAGTCTTTAGATATTAGACATCTTTTTTCCTTCCAACAACACACTAATGGTTAAAAGACTACATAATTGTCCTCATTTTCTAAGTTGTGAGATATATTTCCCACATTTCCACTAGTTATTAAAAAATAAAAATGCTAAATCTAAAATAAAATATGTCAATTCTCCCCTGCCACTATTTTTTTGGCTATTACTTGAAATGTAAGCTATTTCTTATTGTATTTTAATGAATCATTAGCATTTTATAAATCTTCTATTATCATAAAATGAGAAATTCCATTAATTCATACATATAGTCATTCATTAATTCAATAACTACTTTTTATGAGTTTATCTTTAGGAAGTCACTTTGCTGGGGGTTATGAAAATAAAGGAAAGATAATTTCTCCCCTATAGAGCTGGCAGAGAAGATAAAGCACCAGTATAAAGCAAGCTTTTCCAAGACCGTATATATTTATGAATATGGCTTGTGATAATTCCAAGTTCTGCCCCTCTGAACGATATTAATTACTGATGGCATTTCAATGTAAAGTATCTACACAAAATTTAGTGGGGATGGAGGAATGCCCAATTTATTTCCCAAATTGATGATATAAGTGAGGCTCAAATGTTTCACGGATGAAAAAAATGAAAAGATTTCTCAAAAGTCAGTAAAGAGGGAAATTAAGACAAGAACAAAAAATCAAATGTGAAATCACTTTGGGATCTTAATATCAACATTCAAAGAAGTGAAACTATTGTTTTAAATTTTGAATGTGAGTTTTATAATATAGAAATTAAGAGAAATGTGTGAATTTGCAAGACAATAGAGATAACAATCATTTTCTTTAGTATATTTTCCCCAAGAAAATAAATGCAAAACTCATCGATAAATAGTATCATCGGTATGAATGATATTCTACTTCCTACTGTCTTTCTTCCTTCCTTCTTTCTTTGCTTCTTTCCTTTTTCCCTTCCTCTCCTTTTCCCTTCCTACCTTCCTTTCTCTCCTCCTCCACTCCCTCTGGCATTTTTTTCTTCTTTTTTGTTAAGTCAATTTCACCCAAAATTTCTGGAGTTTCTAGACCACCTGCTGTGACCGTTTGTTTGCTTTCCTGTTTCCCTCTACTTAAAATCTGATTAAGGCACATATTTGTGTTAAGTGATTTTGAATTACTTGTGTTTGGAAAACATCTCAATACCCTTTGAGATTATTTGAGATACCCTGAGGTGCTAAAAAATAAAATTGCCCTTCCCTTTCCTTGAACGGACAGTTTTATAAATGTTTTTTCAAAAGGATTCAGAAAAACAAAAGAAACTAAAGGTTTTGCTGATTTTATAACATCATTTGGGGAAATAAACAGCATGGCTTCTGGATTCCTCCATTCCATTCTCCATTCTTAAAAACACAAAGAGATCAAAATTAAAAGCATAAGTTTTCCTTAGGAAATGTTGATTTCTTCTATTCTGTTCTCCACTCTCATAACACAGAGATCACAATTAAAAACATAAGTTGTCCTGGGGAAATGTGTCGGCTTTCTCAGAAATTTGAAGGAAACCAGCTGAGATAATGGCTTTTCAGTTTCCTTTTCACACAATTATAGTTGACAACAAAATTTCTTCAAGAAGACAACTTGGCCTCAGTGTGGCTGAATGGGCAAAGAAACTTTCTGACCAAAACAAAATGGAAACTTTATCTTTCCCGGACCACATTTATAACATAACACAATCCACTAATTTCGAGTCACTCGGACTTGGATTCAGACTCAACTTCTATCAGATTTTAGACTCAGTTTCTCTGTTGGTAAAATAGGTACAATCATACCTACCCCTATTGGGTTACTGTGAAAATTAAATAAGACCTACAAAATGCTTAGCCCAGCATAGTGAGCATTTAATTATCGGTGCCTATTATTATTATTATTATTATTATTATTAGAGTGAGAAAGGACCTGAGGCTATCTATCCAAACCTTATCTAATGCATGATCCTCTTGAACATCACAGACAAGCTATTGATCACCTCACCGCACTTATTCTTGAATAACTCCAGCTGAACCCCAAACCCAGCCAAAGAGCTCTAATTGTTCTCTGCGTGTTAAACTCTCTCTTTCTCCTACACTTTACCTCCTTTCCTATGTCACAGCCGTTCAGATACTGAAGAACACTCTGTGTCATCATATGAGGTCCAATCTCTGTGATAAAACATCACCAGTTCCTCCCAACCTTTTCTCATCATCCCAGCCACTCGCTTTAGGATCCTCTAATTGTGTATACTAAAGCTAAGAAAGGTTGTGTCAGGTGGATAAGTTAAGGATTATTTTTTTCATCCCCCTAAACATGAGAAACTGAAGCACAGAGTGTGGCAGGGCAGAGCAAGATTCTAGACCAGAGTTCTTTCTATTAGACAATAATTTTGTAACTTCTTTTTCTTCCTAAGATTGACCAAGGTAAGAGTCTTTGTAAAACAACAGAATTCTGACTATTTTCTGTTCCTAAAAAAGTTTTCACCATCCATTTTTAATTTTAATTCAGTTATGCCAATGTTGTCTACACTGTGGAAACAGATTATTTTAGGTTGGTCAGGGACAAATTATTTTTATCTTTATTCTTATAAATACTATTATAACATATATTAGAAAAGATACATAATCAGCAACCCCAAATCCATGATTTTATAACTATTGTTGCTTAAGATGAGGCAAGCTTAAAGTGTGAATATATTTTCAATCAATTTAAAGAAAAACATTAAATAACTATAGTAGAGGTGCTACCTCAATCACAAAAGTGATACCTAATTGAAGTTTTGGAAACACTGGTTTTGGGTATTGTCATAGCAAATAACTTAAGTATTGTAGAGTTCATTTAATTGCAATATGGATTTGTGAATTCACAAATAAACCACTTATATTGCATTAATTTAAAAATTCTGTTTCTTCACCCACATCTAAAGCAACCAGTGTAAGTGCAAACTGAATAATAGAAAAAGCATATCTAACTACATTAAAGTGTTTATGCTCATACGTAATTTTGAGAATTTGCTTTCTCTGAAGAAGGAGGATGGGGGAAGAAATGCTCTTATTTTTCTAAGTCCCTGATTCCAAAAACCAGTCTTCAAAGCTCCAGCAGGTATATTAATTATTAAAAATGTCTCTGTTGCTGAAATGTGAAATCTGTTAAAGAAATTAAGTTATTGGATTTCATAACATCATAACATTCTGAAGAACTAAATATTAGAGGAAGAACAGCTTAAGGAAAATGATAGAGGGAATCTTTGGTTTTAAGTGACATTGTAAGTAAGCAAAGCTCTTATCTTTGCAAGTATCTCATTTAATTTCCACAGCAATGGCGGTAAAGGTTTCTACTTTGCAATGTTGTGTGAATTAAATGAAATAATCTACAAAATGCATAGGTACCCGATTGCATTTGGTAAAGAGGCTACCATCCAACTCTAGAACTTTCTTTGACATTTGTATTGTGAGGCCCTTTCATTCTGTGGACACAGGCAGTAGTGCAGCCACTTCCCTCATTGTATTTCACACTTAGTTTATGCAGATAATGGAGACTTGGTCTACAGAGGGAAGATGAACATGACAGTGGATTACAAAGAAAAGTAGGCGAAGGAGGGAATTCAAAGAAGCCTGGAAACAGAAAAAAACTGGGGAAAACTGATTAAAATGGTATTGGATTCATTATCATTTTTTGTTTCTCACTCTACAAATATGACTTAGCATTTTCTCTCATTTCTCTGACTTTTGGCAACAATAAGGCTAATTTGGAATGAGCACAGTGAACTCAGGGATAGAAGACACTACCATATTAGAATCCGAAAAGTAACAGAATATTAGAGTACGTTCAGCAAATGATTCTTCATTATTATTCAGAACAAGAATTTGGCAGCAAATAATAGAAAACCCAGCAAACAAGGGCAAAGAGGTTTGTTTGTGTCATGCAACAAAATGTCCAGGACTGGAATTGTGGCTCAAGGCACCAAAGGGCATCCAGATGTTTTTCATTTTCGTTAACAGTCTCAGAGTTGTAAATTCATGGTCCCCAGAGAGCTGCTGCTCCAGGCTTCCAGTCTGTTCCAAGCAGGAAGACCAGTGGGAAGAGAAAGAGAAAGAAGCTATAGCAGGGAAGCAAAGCTATCCCAGAACCCCCCAACTACTGTCTCATGGGCCAGAACTGCATCGCGAGACCATCCCTTGATGCAAAGGAGTTGCAGAAAGTAAATATTTTTGATCAGGTACCTTGCCACCTTCCAACTAAATTAAGGCTCTCTTTGTAAGGTATGAAGTGAATATGGATATCAGCTGAGCAGCCAGCAGTATCTGCTTTCCAAATGAACAGAATTCGTGGACTTGCTTCTTCCCTGGGGCATCTAAAGGAAGCAAGGCTACTTAGACGTGTCAAGTAGTTGAAAACATTAATACTCACTAGATATTTTTGCTAGTTAAAATGCATAAATGAAGTGAATGTTTATGATAGACCTGTAGCTAGATAGAATAATTCAGATATCCTTACTTATTCCATGCTATTTTTCATAGGATAACTTGGAGTAGTTTATAAAAGTATACTTTAGAAACAAGAGACCAGTATTCTAGTTTATTATTCAATAAATATGTATGAATGCCTATGACATGCTAGACATTGTTTAAGTGCTGAGGATACAAGTATTAACAAGTAGTTAAGG